CTATGAATCCTTAAAGGGTTCCACATGTGGAGCTCTCACATACTTCAGGTTCTATCCTTTGATCTCATGGAGGGCCAGGGAAGCCATAAGCAGAGACTATAAAGAGTGTCCATCTCCCATAGTGCATTCAAACCTACTGCTCCATTTACATCTAGTGAATTACTCCTAGCCCAAAATACAATTTATTTTAAAACAATCCCTAAATAATCTAAGGACTTGGATCATCAAGAAATTACTTTTCTTGGCCCATCGATTTTAAAAACTCTTCCAAGCCAATCGTGATTTTAGTTTAATCCTTCACCAAAGTCCATCTGTTGCAAATACTGCTCATTACTTTTAACAGCATGTCCAATTATGTTAAGAGCATTGAGTGTAGGCTGATAAACCTTCGCTATTATGTTTAATTTATGGCAGAAGATGAGGTGTTCCCTAAACTAGACTATCAAATGACATAAATTATATGTAATGTTCCTCTCCGTGGGCTAGACTCTTCTAGCCTTGATTACACGGAGTAGCACCTTATTTCCCATTGACTTCAGAGGGACTATCATGATGTAAGTTACTCTGTAGGCTAAGGATATTGCAATCTGGCCCATAGACAGTAGACCCACTGAAGGCCATGTGTGTCATTCAGTCCGATGTCTTCACAGGACTACTCACTATGTCATTTCATAATGATGGTGCTTTGACCATGTGCCATTGAGAAGATCATTTCATTGCACAATTTTCTCATACAGTTAAGAACTTTTCCTCATTAGCTGCAGGTTTTTGCCCTTTTTCCAGCCATCATCAGAGAATAAATTCTGCACTTCCATTAACTATTAGGTATTCATAGGCTATGACCAAGTTCCCTCCATCACTCCAAATCTCATTTCTAGTTTATATGGGCCAGATCCTCAGCTGGAATAAATTGGCATAGCCCCATTGACTTGAATGGTGTTACACTGATTTACGTCAGCTGAGAATCTAATCCGGTACATTTGTTTCCTTATACTTAATGGCTTATTCTCCAACTTTGGAATAATACTCGCTTCCCTTCTTTGCATTTTATTTAGCATTCCTGTAATTTTCCCAAGCAATTTTCCAAGTGTGCTCTCACCAGGGCTATGCTGAAACCAGATTTCTGTGCCTGTCAAACACAGGAGTAGAGTTTTAACAGTCCACGCAAAGAATAGCAAAAGTTATGCCATTTAATATATAGATGGAACACTCAGGGGCTATATGTCACAGGTGGGGATGGGGGGTGCGCAAGCTTTTAATCTGCTATAGTTACCCAAGTCACAAGTAAATATTATGGCCCAAGTTTGCAAGGTGACGAGTTTCCTCAATTTCCATTGAAGTCAATGGAAGTTGGGGACATTGCTAGTCTCATTCTAGTCCTCATTATTGCACACCAGTGACTCACTACATGATTGACACTCTGTTCAAGGGAGGCCCCTGACTGAGGAATGATTGCAGATCAGGATTGAGATGCACTGGCAAAGCTGTGTGAGGGAAGCTAGCACAGTATTGCATGCTCTGTGCATGGCTCAAGCCGGTGCTATTGGTCCTTCAGTTATCTGAGTGCAGAGATGAAAGAAATTAAATATATTTTGTTGACAAAAGACTTGAGGCCTGATTTTGATCTAGGTCCATGGCATGGATCATAGTGGGCCTTGGAAATCTGCTAATGTGCATGGCACATGCTGTATTTCCCCCACCACAAGAGAACAGGTTTGAAGTTGGTGCATCAGCTGGGCACAGAAAAGTCTGCAAGCTTTGTTTCCATTTTGGTGGGCTGTTCAGATTGTGCTGTCCCATGGGGATATGTTAGTGTGAAGATACGCTCATCACATGGCAAGTTTACATTGCCTTGAAACAACAGCTTTCCCAATCAGATGAATCTCAGAGCAGGCAAACGCTATGGAAGGTTACTGGTCTTAGCTACTCACAGATGTGGCTCTACCTTCCACTGCTGCATTGCCCTGTCTTAAACTCTCCACTTGTGCAAACGCTGTCGGTGACTCACCTGATATGTAGTGATGTGACTCAGTTTACCACAAGCAGTGGGAGCAGAATCTGCTGTTCTCCACTACTTTTCACTGATAAAATAGAACTGGCCTTGCTGGCACATACAGAATTAGGATAAAATGAGGTTAGGATCTACAACATATTTTCACATGCCACCCCTGTCCCTACTTCCCCCACGTAGACTAGAGTCTGCAATCATCCCTGCATAGCCATCTTCCCATTCCACCCCACCTTGGTTTTCACAGTTGGATCTGGCCCACTTAGGGATCTGGGTTAGGATCCCAAGAATCAAAGTTTCTGCCTTGCATGTTGATGCTATGGAGCAACAATGCCCAGCAGTGAGAGGGAAACTTTAAATTCTGCCTATCTTCATGAAGCCCTGCAGTATGTGCTAGACTCTATCGCTGTAGCGTCAAACAATCCAAAGTTTCTAGGGCGAGTCAACAAAAACAAGGACAGCATCTTCCCACCTCCTTTCTTTAAAAAAAAGGAAATTGTTTGACTTTATTAAGTTTTGAGCAGCCCCTCTTAACCTTGTGGCCTTTTCCTGAATCACTGGTTAGGAACCTTTCTAAAGAAAACTTTAAAATGTGCAATCCCAGCTATCCAAAGATACTCCACCATCTGCTAAGGTAGGTTCAGGTTCTTTATGAGGTATCAGAGAAACAAAGGTATAGAAAGGAAACTTGCTGGTCTGATTAAAGGGGATTTTTTTAAACTAGTAACCCTTAAGAGCCTGATCCAAAGCCCATTGAAGTCAATGGAAAGAGTCCAGCACATTACTGGGTGAAGCCATGTTAGTTTGCAACCATAGTTGAGGTCAGTGGGAGTCTTTCCATTGGCTTTGGATCAAGCCCTAAAAGTTTTCCAACTAATAGTAATTATCAGAGTGACACCTTGATTTTTTCCCCCTGTACAGACCTACTGGTCAAACACATAATTACCTGTGTTTAACATACAGGTTTGATTTTTTTGCTTTCAGAGACAATATGCTGCTGGGTACATTTCCCAGGGAAAATGGACACCTACCTACACACAAAAGTTATACAGCTAATTTATACCTTTTTGAATTTATAATCTTGTCTATGCTTCTATGGACACTTTGTATGGGCTGCAGCTCAAATCCTAAAATAGTAAAGAATTTTTCCTTTCCCATATAGTATTCTCTTTACTTTGACTTTAAAAAAAAAAAGCGTATAAATGCAATAATGCAGGTAGACTAGAAATACTAGATTGAAAATTAAAGTAGTTTAGCTTGTCCCATTGTGACTTACAGTGTTGTATGACACCCAACGCTGTATCCTAGCATTCTCAAGGCTTCCTACGTAGCTGAATCTAGTATTAGCTTTGAAACCCATTGTGTGAATGGCGGGTGGGTGGATTGGAAATGTGTACTCTCTACACACTGTATGTTACTCACATCAGAAGCTGTATGGCCACTCCATATGCTGTGAAACTGTAAATGATTCCAAATACACCTGTAACTCTTATCAGGATTGTGTGAAATAAATTATATATATATATACATACTGTATAATGCTAACGTGACCATCTTTGTGTATTTGGGTGTGTGAGTGAAACTGGCCATTCCTTCTCTCGCTCCTGAGTGATAAATACCCATCTCTAGGGTTAATACTGTTAGTCATGTCTAGAGACCCTCAACAGAGCTC